AGCTTCCACTAATTAATTTGTCATTTGTAAAGCACGTTTTTCTCTATTTTGGAAGCACACTTCTTCAAGTCACAGATCAACTGTTAGATTCCCAACAATCTCCACCTTGCTTCCAAAATTTTAAGGCTATAGTGCAGTTAGGAGTTTCACCAACATTTATAATGTGATTTGCTCTATGGTACCTGTACAATCAATGAAAAGAATCAATAGATAACATCTTTAAACAGTTTTGAAACTTATATAAAGGTATCACCTTAGTTCCTATATCTGGTGGATTATACAAAGTATGTATTTTATTAATTTTCAGCAACCCTTTTGAGATAATATCCCTTATAAAGTGGTATTTTACATCAATATATTTTGTTCTATCATAAAACGTGGGATTTTTACTCAAATGGATTGAACTTTGATTATCAAAATATAGTATTGAAACCAAGTTCATTCAACAAACCATGCAGCCATATGCCTTCTTTAATGGCATCAGTGGCTACAATATATTCAGCCTCCGTGGAAGATAGAACAACAATTTTTTTGTAACTGAGATTTTCTTTTGTCTCTATTTCTAGCAAAATCAAAATATGTATAACCCTTTAAAACTCCATCGAAATTGAATTCTTTTCATAAATTGTCATTTATTTTTCTTGCTATGTACTCCGAAATACTGTAGAATGAGATTCCAAGGATTTTCTTTCATATAAGTCTATACTTTATCTTTGGTATTCGGTGTGTTGTCGTTATTGCTTAAACGCCAACAAATATTTCATTCAATTCCATTTTATCTTTGAAACTTATTTGGATCCCTTGTGCACTCACTTCGGAGAAGGACAAATATAGTCTTAAGAAGTGAGTCGTCATGTCCCTTGAAATTTACCGTGGAGTTGTTGTTTCAGGGCAAGAGTAATTTGAGAGCTTTGTTGATGTGCTGCCCCTGACATGTGCTTTCTAACTTATGTTGCTCTCTTCCAACCTAATTTCTAATACCCTTCCTTTCAAGCCATGCAACGAGCATCATCAACAATTAGGGCGTTGAAGGAGCCTTCAGATAAGAACTCAAAAGGAATGAAGAACTGCCTAATTAGAGCACATATATTTTGCTTCAATGAAAAAAAAATCCCAGTAGTATTGTTTTAGCAAAAAGTACACCTCAATAGTTTGCAGAATTCATTTGGTGAACAATCTACTAATGTTTCCAATTACTAAAAACAGAATACCAATTTTCTTGTATTAGAGGATATATGTTCCCCTGGCCTTCAACAAAACTTCATAAAAAAAATTCATTGCACATTTTATAATTCAAATAAGGGTTGTCATTTTCTTTCAATCAACTATTATCTTTAAAATTGTATAATGTTGATCTTTGCGGTGGCTAAACTTCCACAAATAAGAGCCTTTCATAATGAAATAGCTCGTGAAAATTGCCTATATAGGTGAACGCATTGCAGCTGTCCGGGGTTGGACAAAATTTCTGTTCTAAAGTCTCTGGAATCTCTGCAAAAAAGCTGTTAGTGAAACATATTTCCACGCATCCCCTAAGTCAGAATGGAACCCACCAAAGCCCCCACCAGGAAATCCTCCTTCAACATGAAATGTAAATTACTGGCCCTCTCCTCTGAAAGGGAAAAATTATCCTTCACTCAATCCCATAACCTCAACAATGTCTTCACCACGGTCATATTTGGTATGTTTTTCGTCATCACCAAGAATTTGCAATGTCCAAGTTCTTCATTCCATTAATAGATAAGTCGTACTAAAAAGGAATACAAGGATCAATATTAGAGGCCAGTAGGAAAGTTGATTTATTTGTCAAATACTTGGCCATATATTTAATTCGCTGTGAGTATTGTTAGCCAGTTCATGCATTCCACAATAAGGAGCATCTTGAAGCAGTTTTAAGAATTTTGAAATATCTTAAAGGAAGTCCTAGTAAAGGACTAAAATTTAGGAAGCATAAGCATCTTCAAATTGAGGCCTATATCGATGCTGACTGGGTTGGTGATTTAAGTGATCGAAGGTCAACTTCAGGCTACTACACCTTTATTTGTGGTAACCTCGTTACTTGGAGGGAAAAAATGTTGACTGTAGTGTTGCCGAAGTAGATTTGAGTTGTAGCACATGGAATTTTAGTACTTCTATGACTAAAGAGACTTATTGGTGAACTGAAAGTTTCTATTGAAATACCTATGAGGTTATATTGTGATAATATAGCTGCAATAAACATTGCATACAATCCAATCCAACATGATAGGACAAAGCACATGGAGACAGATTATCATTTTATCAAAGTAAAACTTGAAGGACTACTGTGCATGCACTTTGTGCCCATGATGAGTCTGTTTCACTTATGAATTTTGCACAATTTTAACTTGATTAATTGCTAGATTTTGCAAGTAGAGAGCGTTTTTGATGTGCTTGTTAGTGTTGTTTTGAAGATTAGGAAAGACGATACAAAAAGAGGTACTAAAGCGGACGAAGAGACCAAAAACAAGGAAATTGGGACAAAAAGACAGCGTTTAGGCACTACAGGCGCTACGAAACTAAAAAAGATGAAATTTGAAGCCGAGATGCGGCGTCTAGGGGCTGCAATCATAGAGCCCAAGCGCTACCATCATCGCCTAGGCGCTGCAGTTAAATTGACGTGGTACCTAGGCGTTGGCTTGTAGCGCTTAAGTGCTGCGTCTGGGTCGTCTAGTGCACATTTTTTGGGTCGTTTTAAAGTCCATAAAAACCCTACTTCTACACAAAATGGAGGGAGCACCTATAAATACAATCTTTCTTGTACTTTTGAGAGGTTCTTCACACATTGGGAGGCAAGACAACAAAAAGGGAAATTCAAAAGAGAAATTCAAGAAGAATAACACCAAGCAATTGAAGATTTGAAGCATTGATTGGAATGGAAGAATTTTACTTTTTCTTCTACATCTTGATTACAAATTCAGTGATGTATTCTAAGACAATTTACTATTTTTCTTCTTGCATTATGAGTAGCTAAATTCATTGTTAGGGCGAATAATGTAACAAATTGTAATCCTTTATATTCTCTTATTAAGATTCTTAGTTTTTAATTTTTTCATGTGTTGATTTTGCTATGAGTTGTATGCATTAAATTATCTTATCAATAATTTGATAATTTTTGTGAATTCTTTACAAATAGAGATATGAGTTTAGGAATTGGACCATGTAGTAAAATCCAGTACATTGCTATAACGAATAGAGATACATATACAATTTATTGCGGTCACAATTGAATTCTTAGGACAAAGAACTCGTTTAACTAAGTTGTATTTGTATAGAGATGTGGAATTTAATTAGTTGAATAGGCTCAATGAGAACTCGAGAAGGTAAATTGAACACAATAGAAGAATTCGATCGTACATTACATTAGAATTGATTTTTAATTTGAGATGTAAAGGTGATCAATAGGTGAAATTATTCTGCCCTAACATCCATTCATTATTCGATTTTAAAACTAATCATGTGAGCATCCATTTATTTTCTAAAATCTAGATTAAAACTCAGATTTTACAACTTTTAATTTTTTTTAGTCAAATAGTAATTAAAGAAAAATTGAATTAAGTGATAAAAAATAATCCTTGTGGAATCGACAATCCGAACTCTTAGGTTCACTATTACTTGTTACGGGTCATACACTTGCGAAACAAAATTTTACAACAGTCCACAGAAAAACAGTTAGCACACATCTTAACTAAAGGGATACTAAAATCATGTTTTCATTGGGTAACTAACAAGCTGGGAATGCTCGATGTATATGAACCAGTTTGATTGTCGCTAAATTGGAGGAAAATAAAATCAGAGAACTAAGTTGAAAATTTGATTTATTCAGTCCTCAATTTTTAGGCATAGAATGTCTCTTTATAGTTGTTTATTTTCTTGTATATTATCTCCTTACTTGCATTGTCTACATACTCTTTATATATTTTTCCTTACTTGCATTGTCTACATACTCTTTATATATGATGAGAACCATAAATTTTACATACTCTTTATATATGATGAGAACCATAAATTTTCTATATTCTGATAACATAAAGAATAGAATTGTTATGACCCTACTTATATTGAAGTTATAAAAGGAAAAATAAAATAAAAAGTATACAATCTTATAACTATAGAGTTAACTATGAAAGAGCACAAATTGTAGAGATTATTCAAATCTCAAGATCACGAGATTTTTCAATCCAACATACGTTTTCTTCAATTCACTGTGCTCATTGTCAAGGCGAAGACCTTAGTAATGCCTGAGGAAGAAAATGTGGAATAATAAAATGTAAGATAAACTCAACTCCAATCTCTGACACTATCTAATCAAATCATAATGCACAAACTAGTTAAACCCTTTACCTTATTTAATCCAATCATTGACATTGAAATCATACTCCCTAATGGCTCTCCGGGGCATAGCCTAGTGGTGTAAAGGACAGGAGTGAGGTTATCTCACGTCTTGCTGTTAGTCACAGTGTAGAGATTCGATTCCTGAAACATGAAATTGGACTCCTTGTAGGCGCAGTGTACAGACAGCTCTTGTTCCTTGACTTGTTGGGGCATATCCCGCGATTTACCTCCCTCTCAAAACTCTAGGGATGAGGCGGTGAGAACTCTCAAGGTTGGGGTTCAACCTAATCATACTCCCTAATGATTTCTTGTACAACAGATAATGATTATCATCATTATTTTCTGTCCACAAACATGGAAACTACAAACTTGAAGAAAAATATGTTAAAACTCATTAGCCAGCATCAATACTAACCAAGTTGTTCTCCTCCTAATTTAAGCAAACCAGTAGCTGCATTAACGCTATCAATGTTTTCTTGCCACCTTAAACTGCACCTTTTACCTTCCTCAACATTTATTACCCATCTCACGTCACGTGTGTACATGTGTGAGTGAGCGCGCGGACGTCAGAGAGTTTTTGTCTCTTTATTTTTGCAGGAAAAAACTTCCCATTCAATATAAATAAAGCCATCTATAGCCATGGGGTTTATTCATTAATCTTAAAACCCTACAAGAAAGGAAAAAATACTGCAAAATGAAACAGATATTCTCAACACTCCCTCTCGTGTTCTTCTTATTCTTCTTTCAGTGCACTCCTGCGTTTTCGCAGAGTCTGGCTCCAGCTCCTACACCTCCGGTGCTGGCTCCTCCACCTCCAACGCCAGCTCCTGTTCCTCCGCCGCCGGCTCTTGTACCTACAGCTGTGGTTCCTGCACTTTCCGGTCCCACCAACATCAATGCTATTCTTCAAAAGGCCAAGCAGTATACGACACTTATTCGACTCCTAAAATCCACCCAAATTGGTGATCAAATCAATTCACGGCTTGACAACTCAAACCAAGGTTTCACAATATTTGCTCCAACTGATTCTGCGTTCAGTAACCTCAAACCAGGCATGTTAAACTCTCTCACTGATCAACAGAAAATCGATCTGATACTATTCCATGTCCTACCTTCATTTTTCTCCGTCTCTCAATTCCAAACTGCAAGCAATCCGCTAAGAACACAAGCTGGTACTGAAGAACAATTTCCACTCAATGTCATTGCAACTGGGAATCAGGTGAACATAACGTCCGATATGGTTAATACAACAGTGGCAAGTACAGTATATGCTGACAAGCAGCTAGCCGTATATGAGGTTGATAAAGTACTCCTTCCGAAAGGTCTATTTGTACCTCCACCGCCAGCTCCTGCACCATTAAAACCCAAAAAACTCCCGGCTTCAAATTCTTCCGACGCTGATGACATTACTACTCCTGTCAATTGAAATCTAAAATTTAATATAAATCAAAGTTACTAATTAATTTTAATAACATATTTTATGAAATTCTTAACTTTTTAACTTTCATCAAAATATGCTAAAATTTGATTTTAACCCCCACCAAACGAGGGCAAAATTACAGTAAATTGGAATTTTTTTTCTCTTTTCTCCTATTCTATCTTACTCTCTCATTCACATCTTTTATCAAAATCTTAACTCTTCTAATTTTTTAAAATTTGTCTATAATTTTTCTACAAATTTTCACTTTCCAATCAAATTTTCAATTAATTAGAATTTAAATTTACATTATCTTCTATCCCGTTTGTGTACACAGAACGTATCTGAACTGACTATGAGCTTGTTTGAGCCACATTATTTAAAAATATATATATACATTATTCAACAGTGATTTGAAATTATTTCAACCACACATTTTTCAATAAAATAATATTACGCGCAAATCTAAAACCTTTTCTTATTTTTTAATCACACATTTCTCATTGATTTGACATAAATAATGCATTTTTTTCCTAGAATGTGGCTCAAACATGGGCTATATCCAATTTAACTTATATTTAATGAATTATATTTATTTGGTTGAATATTGGTTATATGTTTTTCATTTTGATCACTTAAAGTGATTGTTTCTATTGAATTCACTATAATTCTTTTAAACACAAATATGTATTTTCTTGTGATGAATAAATTATTAATAAAATGACTGTTCGAAATCAAATGGATGAAAATGATGAATAAAATATTAATGAAGAAATATTTTTTAAATGTAAATTTGCATTTTCTTGAGTCAAGTATAAATCATTCAAAAATCGAGAACAAAGTATTTGATTTGTACAGAATTTGATTGTACCGCTAACTAAAAATTTCCGCTTCCACCCCTGCACGAACCTGTATTTCCTCTGTAGCGTTGTTAACCAGTTCATGCATTCCCCCAACAAGGGGCATCTTGAAGTAGTCCTTAGAATTTTAAAGGGCGAAAGTTCAGGAAGCATGAGCATCTTCGAATTGAGGCCTATATCAATGCTGATTAAGTTGGTGATTTAAGTTTCAAAGAAAAAACAGAACATAGGTGCCCCGTAGTAGTGCAGAAGTAGAGTTTTGAGCTGAAGCAAATGGAATTTGTGAACTTCTATGACCAATAAGACTTCTTTATGAACTGAAAGTTCCTATCCGATGACAGTATATTATGATGATATGGCTGCAATAAACCGGTCCAACATAACAGAACCAAGCACGTGGAGGCAGATTATCATTTTATCGAAGAGAAACGTGAAGGAGTACCAGTGTGCTATGCTCTTTGTTCCGATAGAAAAAATAGTTAGCACAAATCTTAACTAAAGGGATAAAAAAATCATGTCTTCTTTGAGTAACTAGCAAGCTGGGAATGCTCGATGTATATGAACCAGCTTGAGGGAGTGTCGAAAAACAAGGAGAAGTCGAGAAGATTAAATTCTAATTTGTTGCTAAATGGGAGGAAAATCAAATCAGAGAATTGAATCAAAGATTTTATTTATTCAGTCCTTATTTTTTAGGCATAAAATATCTCTGTATAGTTGTTTCCTTTATTTCCTTGTGTAGCTTACATACTCTTTATATATGTTTTTATACCAAGTATTCATCGCTGAATGAGAACCATAGATTTTCCAAGTTCTACTTTCATAAATAAAAAAATTGTTATAACATGACGTGTAAAATAGTAAAATACAATGGTAAAGACCATTTATAGGGCTATACAGAGTTACTAAAGGAAAAATAAAATAAAAATTATACAATTTCGTAACAATTGGAGTTAACCATGAAAGAGTACAAATCATAGAGACTATTTAAATCTCGAGATTACGAGATTTTTCAATCTAAAACATGCTTTCCTCAGTTCACTGTGCTCATTGTCTAGGGGAAGACCCTTCTAGCAATGCCTAAGAAAATGTGGAATGAAGTAGCTTAAATCAAAGAGGCTCTTAGGTGAATCCCAGCCACCTTGAGCTTGAAATAATTGAGAAAGTTACTTCTCTGCTACTTCTTATCTCCAGAAACTTTTTGTAGCTTTTTTCTGATTCCTCGTATCTACATTACACATTCCTTCATTAACTTCTCAGTTTCCTGTATCAGAACATGAAAACTTTAAGAATAAGATTTGTTCAAAAGGATGTCCCAACATTATTAACACAAATTTGTTGCCAATTAAGGTACTAAACATGTTTCTCATGAACTAATTGGAGGCCCCATTTTGTTGAACTCATCTGCGTACCATCAAATAATATGATGCACAAACTAGTTAAACCCTTTACCTTATCTAATCCAATCATTGACATTGAAATCATACTGCCTAATGATTTCTCGTACAATGGATAATCATTATCATCATAATGTTCTGTCCACAAACATGGAAACTTGAAGAAAAAGATCTGTTCATAACTCAGTAGGCTATCCCAGCATCAATATTAGCCAAGTTCTTCTTCCTAAAATTTTAAGCAAACCAGTAGCTGCCTTAACACTGTCCAAGTTTTCTTGTCACCTTAAAGTGCACCTTTCACCTTACTCACCATTTATTGCCTATCTCAAGTGTGTGAATGAGAGAGGGGCAGAGAGATTTTATTTTTATATTTATTTTTAGTTTTGCAGGAAAAAATTGAACCCCGCTCAATATAAATGAAGCCCTCTCCTTTGTGTCCTTTCATCTTCAATCAAGAGGTTTATTCATTCTTCTTAAAACCCTACAAGAAAGGAAAGAAAAAAGATCACTGCAAAATGAACCAGATTTTCTCAACATTCCCTCTTGTGTTCTTATTCTTCTTTCAGTGCACTCCAGCTCTTTCGCAGAGTCCGTTGCCTGCGCCGACACCTCCAGCGCCTGCTCCTGTACCTCCAGTGCTGCCTCCTGTACCTCCGGTGCTGCCACCTGCACCTCCAGTGTCAGCTCCTGTACCTCCGCTGCCTGCTCCTGTATCTCCGCTGCTGGCTCCTGTATCTCCATCGCCGTCTCCTGCACCTTCCTTTCTCACCGACATCAGTTCTATTCTTCAAAAGGCCAAGAAATATTCGACACTTGTTCGACTCCTAAAAATCACCCAAGTGGGTGATCAACTCAATACACAGCTTAACAAATCAAGCCAAGGTATCACAATACTTGCTCCAACGGATGGTGCATTCTCTAACCTCAAACCAGGCATGTTAAACTCTCTCACTGATCAACAGAAAACCGAACTGCTACAATTCCACGTCCTACCTTCATTTTTCACTGTCTCCCAATTCCAAACCGCAAGCAATCCAGTAAGAACACAAATTGGTAATAATGAAAATTTTCCACTCAATATCACTGCAACTGGGAATCAGGTGAACATAACCACCGATATGGTTAATGCAACAGTGGCAGGTACAGTATATACAGACAAGCAGCTAGCCATATATGAGGTTGACAAAGTACTCCTTCCGCATGGTCTATTTCTAGCTCCGCCGCCAGCTCCTGCACCTCTAAAACCCAAAAAGCAGCCGGCTTCAGATTCTTCCCAATCTGATGATACTACTGCTACTACTTCTACTCCCGTTGATATTTCTGATGGAATTTATCTGTCCCCACATGCATTGCGTGCAATGTCCAGTACTGTCCTTGTTTTGGCAGCATTTGTCTTGGGTGTGTGAAAAGTGTGTGCTAATGGAGTTCTTTGTATCATGCTTATATTATCTTCACCGAACTACATTTGTTTGATGTAATAATCTGTCATTATGCAAAAATTATTTCAGTTTTTGAAGTATATCAAAATTCCTGCCTAATAAAATCTATTAACCCCAGAAGTGCATACGAGAATCTCAGACATTCTTCTCAGAATAACAGTTCCATTCTTCTGCCCGTTTATTTTGAAATGAATTTTATTTCTACAACTTGCGATAGTTTGATGTACTCTTTAAACTAGCAAATAGAGCATTAATACACAAGAAACTGAATCACAAGCCAAGAACTTCACGCTTTACTTCCTTTCCAACAAATAAAAATGGTTTGGGTTACAAGTGGTGTCCAAATCCTAGGTACATTACCTCCCTTTATGACTCTTCCGGAGCCGCCTCATGTTAGATCCCCAGAGAAAGATGATCAAGTTGGCCTTGCCAACAACTTAATATGGTGAAAATGTAAAAGATTTCCAAAAAAAAAGTGGACAATGCAAGTTGAATTCAAAATTAGGTTCTCAAAGGAGCCTTCATACGAGAACCTAAAAGGTATGAAGAACCGCCTAATTAGAGCACAACAGATTTTGCTTAGGAATTAAGAAAAAAATTCCCAGCAGTCATTGTAATAACATCTTCAAATGTAATATATATCGTACGCGTGAGAAAGCCTAAACAACATAAATAAATAAATAAATAATGGTGAAAAGGGCGTGAGAAAGCGTAAACAACATAAAAAAAAAATTGTGAAATGGGCATCGCTTTATCATTGAATACTAGGAAAGTTTTCCAAGTATAGGGATTCCTTCACAGAATTTCTACAAGTGTTACGATGGCAGCACATGATTCGCAGACTTATTTTTTGTTTTTGCCATTTGGCAATCAGTTTGGACCCATGTGAAATTCTATAAAACATCTGTGGAAAAAAAAAAATCCTATTCCCGTAGCATTGCTCCTATAATATCACACAACTATAGGGTGAACTCACCCCAGCAAAATCTTCGCAGCATCAACGACATACCATTGCCAAAAAAAGAAAAAAACATTTTTTCAGCAACTAATCGACTCAAAAGTCATACAATTTTGTTGTTACAAATCAGATCCTCAGAAAATAATATCAATATCCTTATCACATAAACAAATGATACAGATTTTCCAGATATGTGAATTGTCAAGAGGATTTCCTGCAAAAGCCAAAAAGTACACCTCAATATTTTGCAGAATTCATGTGTTGAACAATCTTTTGATGGCTCCAAGCATCAAAAACAAAACATCCATTTCCTTGTATTAAGAGGACATCTGTACCACAAAACTCCGTACAAAAATTTCTATGCACATGTTACAATTCAAATAAAGGGGTTGTCGTTTTCCTTCAATCGACTATGTTCTTTAATATTTCAGAATGTTGATCCCCGCAGAGTTAAACTTCCTCACATAAGATCTTTTTCATAATCAGACAGCCCGTAAAAAATGCCTATAAATGTGTGTGCATTTCAGCTGTTAGGGGTTAGACAAAAATGCTGTTCTAAATAGTCTCCGGAGTCTCAGCAGAAAAGCTGTTAGTGAAACATATTTCCAAACTTCCTCGAGGTCAGAAATGGAAGCCACCAAAGTCCCCGCCAGGAAAACCTCCTTCAAAGTGAAATGTATATTGCTGGCCCCCTCCTCCAAAAGGGTTAAATCCTCCACCACCCATTCCCATACCCTCATCAATGTCTTCGCCACTATCATATTTGGTACGTTTTTCTTCATCACCAAGAATCTGCAGTGTCCAAGTTCTCATTCCATTAATAGACACGCAACGCTAAAAAGGACTACAAGAGATAATGAAGGAGAAAATATAGAACAGAACAAAGAGTAATAATCTACTTCGCTGAAATTATTCACACTGGCGGGTTCTGACAAATAATAAACACTAAAACAGTACCCGCCAAGTGAGTTCAAGCATAGTCAAGAACTCATATCAAAATAAGATTAATTCCAGGAAACTACTATTCTCGAATCAAATACTTTTGCAGGAAACAGTTGGAGAAACTGAACGAAATATCATTTAGATTGGAGGGATCATAAAAAGCATTTTCCAAATTAACTTTCACTAAGGTACATGCCCAGCTGTCGTTAACATAGTCAAAACAATTTAATAGAGAATCTATTGCTTAAATGGTCACAATCTAATTCTTCAAATGTAGGGACATGGCTGTGACTTGCATAAATGTATCATGCCTTGCCACGAGGACTGTAAAACATGGTACCATAGTATAATAGCATATCAATAGTATCATAGAAACGCTAATGAGCTAGATTGTCTACAAGTTGAACCAAAAAAGCAGGGAGAATGAGATAACAAAAGAGGAAAGGTTACTAAAGAACCAACCTCATATGCAGCTGCTATTTCCTGGAATTTGGCCTCTGCTTCTGCTCTATTGTCAGCATTCTTATCTGGATGCCACTGCAACGCAAGCTTCTTATAAGCCCGTTTAATCTCCGACATTGATGCAGTTTTCGAAATTCCCAAAATCTTGTAATAATCCTTCCGCTGGCTTAGTTTTAAAGACCTCTCAGCCCTCATTAGTGCTTCACGAATATTCATATCCTGAGGTCACAATTTTAAATTGCTAATGGCTATACAAAGAACTTGTAGTACATCCATAACAAAAGCAATTGTTTATCAACAGAACTGTAAAAATTAAAAAAGGTATTTTTTGTGAAATTGACCACAATTCTATCATCTGTTGCTCAAGCAAAAGCTTGTTAGGTAGGTTTTTATAAACGATTTAAATTATGAATAGATAGAAATGAATGATGGATAAATGGGTAGTACTTGATGTTCTAATGAAATGTGGGGATAAAGAGCAAGTTTGACCAATTACAAATCAACTATAAACATTTCCAAACAAGCAAGTTTTCATATAATGTATTCCTCGAGGGTTTAGACTGTACGAACAGCTAAATTCTTAGCAAACAAGAGAACAATCAAAATACACGAACTACTCTTAGCCCTTGTATTGTGCATGTGACTCAAATAGAGTGGAACACAGGTCCTGAATCAGATGGGCCGATTCTTGTACGGGTTTTAAAGTCTTATATGGGCTCAAACTAGAGTTAGTATAAATGATATGTTGTAATCCTATTTTTAACTACTGAATAAAATTATCTCTGCTTCGCTCTCGTGGACGTATGCAAACCGTCGACCATGTAAAATTCGTGTGTTGATTTATCTTTTTCATCTCTTTATTATTACGCATAAAATCCAACACCTTGTTTAACAACCATTAAAACGAGTTTTGGAATATTGATTTTTTAGGAAATGTGTGATTAAAAAATATTTTGGTTTACGTGCAGAATATTTTATTGTCAAAGTGTTTGGGAGATTGAGAAAAAAATAGTTTTGTTTTAATAGTTGTCAAATTTAAGACTTCTATTGCAAATTTAAATTTTATAATAAAAAATAAATGATAAAAACTGATCTATGCCTCTTACATTGGCAACTACATGAAGTTGAACACACTAATGTGAGTACTTTGTATTCCATAAATCATGACTTAAAGTAAGAGGTTCGATGGAGGGCCAATATGACAAATTACATCAATGTTGAAAACTATGGAATTTTTAACACTTCCAACTTGAACCCCATAAATTTGGGATCAATTACATAACTCCTCTTCATCTCTCTGTGTTTTCAATGGAAAAGTCAAAGCTATCAAATCCTTCTTAGCCACATTGAGCCATATTAATTTTGGTTTATCTCTCCTAACAAGTTCTACTGGAATCACATCATTCTACTGGAATCAAATCCTTTCTAAGAATGCCGCTTTCAAAGAGTTTGGTCTCGCTATCGCTTTATGATGGCAACATGCAAATATTTTCCTCTCTTTTTTAATATCAAAACAGAGCATCTTTTACCTTAGAATCAAGAGACCTAAATTATTCAACAAAATATGCACTTCAAAGTCACATGTATAGTTGTAAAGAATTTATTTTATTCCATTTCCAATTTTACTTGTTCTGTTTTGGGACAATGGATGTTTGGTGGCAAAGATGTAAAAGGGCAAGTTTTTCATGAGCAATTTAACTCTTAAATTCAGAACAAACATCACCTCCAACATGTCATAAGGTCAACATGATATGCGAAGTTTTAAATTAGTTCTTTGGCAGAAGTTGCAATGATGCTCTATGATCAAAGTTGAAACATCTTTTAAAATAAAAATGTAATTATGATATGAAGTTATGTGGTACCTGAGGTGACTTTTCTGCTGCTGATTTCAAATCGGCTACAGCTCCCTCCCAATCTTCTACCAAAAGTTTGGCTTCACCCCTCTGGAACATGTAAGGAAAAGTTAACTAAGATAACATCAACAAAAAAGTTTGAAGTAAACTACTAGCCAAGTTAGGTTATACAGTATAGATTAGGAAGCATTCGTCCTAAAGCATCTTAATGCCATTTTTCTTTATTATCAGAGAAAACCATAGTTATAACAAAAGGTAGAAACCTGGACAAGAGCTTCAAGAAGCTCTTCATCAATTTCAAGAGCTCCTGAGCAACTTGTTACTGCTTCCTTTCCCCTACCAAGCTTCACCAAGACCTTACATAATCCAAGATGAAGGTGTACATTATATGTAGTATGATCTGGGTCCAAGGCAAGGGCAGTCTTATATTCCTCCACTGCAAGACGAAGCTTACCCTTACTTGCATTATCTTCTGCCTGCATAAATATATTACATTTGAGAAATGAACAATATCATTAAATAACAATGAATTGCTTAAATAAGTGACTAAACATATTACAGATTTAGTCTTTTTGAGCAGATTTTTCAATCCAAAATACGCTTTCTTTAATTCACCGTGCTCAGGGTCTAGGCGAAGACCCTTCTGGTAATGCCTGTGGAAGAACATGTGGAACGGTAAATGTAAGTAAAAACTCAACTACTCAAATAAATTAAGTCACTACTTCTTCAGTTTTTCCCGTTTCTACTGAATTTTCCTGCTTTCAGCTGGGGTGCAGGGTTGTGAGCAGTAGGAAATCATAAATGTGTAAGAGAACACACCTAATAGCAACATCATGATCCACCAAATAATAATAGGCACGACCACGTAACAGCAAAGCCTCTAAGTTATCCTCGTCTTCTTTGAGAACATATCCCGTTTCAGATATGACACTGGAATAATCTTTAGCTGTTAATAATAGCCTCACTTTAAGGAGTTTGGCCTGCAAAAAGCAACAGATAATTTACTGGTCAAGCTGAACCTATACATTGCAGAGCCATAGCCAACTTGAACAGTACATGAAATCATAATTCAAAAATAAATACAGATCGAGTACAGACGTTAGAGCAGGCTGGAGAGAAAACAAGTACAACTTTTTCAATAAACTCCAATGCCTTCGTGAAGTCGCCTGAATCAAAAAGGTTCTTAGCTGAATCCAAGGCACTTTGAGCTTGATATAATTGAGAAAGCTCCTTCTCTGCAGCTGAATTCCTGGGTTTCATCTCCAGAAACTTTTTGTAGCTTTTTTCTGATTCTTCATATCTACATTAGCCAAAAACTTCACAAATTATTAATTTGTCAATCAAATCATTGTATATTATCGAGGACCAAACTTCTTGAAAGCACTATGGATCTATTAAACTACTTAATCTGATATGAAACAATCAGTTGTATGTTAACTGAGAAAAAAAAAAGGCCTACAAACTGCAAGATCATTTATGATGCCCCTAATGATATTTCAATAATGAATCGAAGGAATTGTGTGATTTTAAACTATACAACCAGTAAGAGCAGTTCAGATTCAGGAAAACTCATTCAGCTCTAATTTAATACTGGCATTTGTAGGATACCTATGCTCTAATTTTAAGGAAATCATAATCTTTGAGAGCCTAATATAGTTCATGGGACAACTAAACGTGTTTGGCAAAGAAAACCAAAAAAAGAAAAGTACGTTCATGGACAAAATTTAGATTTTCCTCAAGTGCAGTTACAAAAATTTCTATATACGACCTGCAAAACTGACGAAGAATAGATGCTCGATGCCAATATGCTTCTGAAAGTCCAGGATCGGTCTCTATAGCAGCATTAAGATCATCGAGTGCTTCACTATATTTCTTCACTTTTATACTTTGTGAAGCTCTTTCGAAAAGAGCGGCAGCATCACTAGGTTGACCATCTGCAGATCAAAACATATAGATCCGCATTAAGTGCAACAATGAACTCTTTAATATCAAATTATCTCGGGACCAAAAAAAAAAATCACTAGTGGAGCTATCCATTCAGCTTCAGTAAGTATATACACAAAAGGAGTGTTATTTATAACTTTCAGTGCTTCTTTTAAGTTTGATAGTCACTTATCATTCAACATGTCATCTTCATGGTTCTACTTCTAGGAGATAAAAGACTGTAGTTTATGAAATTTTAGCACCTTGGTCAATAAATAAGAAACGAAAATATTTCACCTACTACCTTTATAAAAAGGTTAATCCTTTGAGAGAAAACTAGATTAATATCATGAAATTTTATCAGCACTGCCAGAAATTTTTTTTTTTTTTTTTTCAATAGATACAAAAAATGAAGGCATTCTCATTGTCATGTGATATATAAATATCAATTCAACTTTTCATACAAATTCCAGAACATGAATCCCTTTCAAATCAAAGATAAAAGTTATTAGCTTTGATACCCAATTCGACTTTTCATACATTATGTTATTCATACCAAAAACTGGGAGAATCCAGCAATTGTAAATGATCGGGTAAGAACTTTTCTCGAAATATTTTTAATTCATCCTAATTTTCATATGTTGACAGGTGATTTTCATTGATCAGGAAGCAACCAAGACCTTATCATGATTAAATTATAATTTATATCCCAGAAATTGTACACAAGGTTGATATTTGGAAGTGCACGAGTGTTAGTGGATACATTTGAAGCAAAATGAGAAAACCCGTCTACATTCATCACTAACCTCCTACTGTCCAAGATTTTAGTTTCTTCATCACTTAACCATCAGGCTTCTTGCACCGATTCAAGAAGTTTCTTTTGTAAAATTAAATCCCCCTTCTACTGCAAGCTCAACCAATCCTCCCATTTCCCGCCCTCCTTCCAACTCTGTTGTCATATATTCTTATGCATTTTCTTGAACCATACGGTGGAGTAGAAATCAGACAATATCAAGAATGTGATGGAAGGAGGAAGGCAGGGTAGGGGGCGTAATAAGGATAGTGAGGGTAAGGTGATGGAGGAAATACGGGCTGGGTGAAGGAAGATGAAAACCAGGTGTATTGAAATTTTGACAAAATCAAGAAGTGTTCTTTACGTAATTTCAAAAAATTAGCTTCTTTTTAATTTGCACCATCCAGCTCGATCCTTCTTTAAACAATTTCCTCTTTCTGAAACAATGCAGGTTAAATTCAACTAAAAATCCCAAGTCCTGGATTCACAAAAGCCCAACATTCCAACAACTCGTAGTCTCATATAGATGATCAAAGTTGATTTATCCTACTCACAAACAAGCTACAAACATACACATATATGTATACATACAAATACATATAAGGTGAATTAAAATAAGGAGAAATTAGATTACCTAAAGCAGCAACAAGTGGTTGGAGGAAGAGTATCTGGCAAGAAAACACAAAATTCAGAATGAATATCGAAAAGACAAACCCCCTCAATGCTACCAAATCCAAACCCCAGAGTTTCATTAAAATCTCCATCTCGCAATTCTCGATACCGGCGACGAAATATATCGATATCAGATATAGATTAATACGTACATATATTCGTTATGTATATAAGAGTACGCGTGTAGGCGTTGTATATGAATTGAAGCCCTCGAATTTTGAGATGTGGAAATTTGAAGTAAGGCTTGTGTATGTGTTCAAAGTTTAAACAGAACGTTGATGTTGTGCTGTAAGGAATCGAGTTTCATTCCACGTACGAATAACCAATGTCTGGATCCCACGTGTAATCAGTGGCCATTGTTTGTCCAATGAGCACATGCCACGTCGAAGGGATTGGTTATCGTCCAGTTCTTGAATTTGTTGAAGTTAATTTTCATTTTTCTCTCTTTCGCTCCTAAAGGAATAACCAAAAAATAATAATAATAATAATAATAATAATAAAATAAAAAAGGAAAATTGATCCTACAATGCAAGGAAAAAAATTAAAATTTCAGTACTCTTGAAAATATGAAAATCAATGCTCCCTACACACACGTGTAAGCATAGAATATGGAGTACTCCATATTTCAAAAATACTAAATTTTTTTTAATATATACTTATTTTTTTTATTATATCGATCTTTGAAATTGAATTTCAAATACCAAATATAACATCTACCCCTCAAAAAATCACTTTAACTTCAACTAAAAACAATAAAGAAACATTTTTTGCACTCCATAATTATTGTTTCATCCTCTTTCATATGAAATTAACGATAATTTATTGCATATTTTAATCCAAAGGTTGTGAAAATTCAATTTTATTGTTTTCAATTTTGAAGTAGAAAAATTAATTGTGCTTAATTAGTTTGGTAGTTGTTTTTTTATGTCGTTTTTCTATTAATACACAAGTCTATTGAGATCTCCATTTTAATTTGTTTTCTTTTCTATTTAGTTTATAACATTTTCCTGATTTATTTATTATTATTATTTTTTTTTGGAACAATTTTCAGAACCCAAACTTTGTTGAGCTTCTTGGGTTGAACTTTGTAGTATGTACATGGATATATAATGGCTCTACCAATCTCCTTTGTTTCATGAGGTACGGTAAAGCTGGATATTGAATTTATATTAAAAATTACTTCTTTAACAGTTTTAAAAAGAAAAATTACTTTTATAACTATTATAGCCAACCAAAAGAGACCACATTATAATAAAAAAAATTTGGCTATTCATCCTTTTTTTTTTCTTTTTTTTCTTTTTTTTAAGAAACATTTAGCCCTTATTTAATTTTGGTTCTTCAAGAATCACTTATCTCTCATGCTCATTTCCAATTAAACGTTCTTTAAAGAAAATTATTTTTCACATTCTCACATAACTTTTTCTATTTTTTAATCACAATCACAGAAGAAAATTATTTCTCTATTGTTAGGGTCCTAAACAAGGTACCCTACAATTAATGGTCCAGAATTTCAATTATTATCCCAATAAACAATTTGAGTGGTGAGCTAAAATTATTAGTAACTTTCATTTAGGAGAAATAATACAGAATCTGATTAAATTTGTTGTTAGAAAAATGGATAATAACAATAACAACAACAACAACAACAACAACAATAATAATAATAATAATAAACGTGTGATTAAAATCAAGATTTGATTTTGAGAATAAAAATTAACTTTTATTGATCGACTCTCAATTTTACAATAAAGAAGAAATCTATAGGTTGCTTTTCTTCTTCTACTACTACTTTTTTTACATGGAACTGTATAACATTCTGCGGTATTTTCAACGTGTTTATTTTAATATATACATACGTAAAAACTAAAAAGAGTAGGATTAGAAAATAATATGTCAGAGATGCACAAGTTTTATCATAATTCTCGTTACTGAATATATGGTAGATTAATTTAAAATTTTTATTGGCATTCCAACTTATTATCCAAAAAACTTTAGATCGCGAGAAATAGGTGTTTCATCCTCTATTTTATTTTCTTGATGTGTTGTAGTCTAGTATCTAGTGATTAATTTAAATATTTAATGTGATACGCTCTAATCAATTAATGAAAGTAATCTCATATGCATATAAGTTGAGTAATATCTTCAGATCGAACTAATTTATGGAAAATAATCGAAGTAAAAATATTAGCCCTACTAACCTTGACGAGGCTGGTCAAGAAATATCATAGTATGACCTGACAATGAATTTCAACAAAAGTGTGAATTCATGCAAAGATTAAGAGTTGACTCAAATATGGCCAACTCCATCATTCCCAACGACTTCTTACATTCCCCTCCTTATCGTTCTGTCACTTTTTGAGGTGGGTTAGGTGTTTGGACTTGCGTGCCATTATTGTTGGGCAAATAGAAATTCGGTTTTCAATAGATGAACGGGTTTTTTGCATTCTATATCGTAGAACTAATGTAATTTTAAGAGAATCCATGGAGATAATGACCTTACACATATAGTACCTTGGGGTCGACATTAAGATTCATGTCGTAAGATTAGACAGTTTTACCATCCTCTCGTCATTTATTCAAGTTTAGGACAGACTATGAAAACATGGATGGAGCCATGCTAGCTAGTGATTGCTAGTGAATTGGCTTAACCCCATCGCTGAACTCATTGAAGCAAATTCGGCAAGTTGTTGTGACAAGAATGGATTGCTACCTTCACCTCCCACGCCAAGAAAATCCCTGGTGAGACTGTGCTCCGCACCATGCAAGTTTACTAAAATTGCTTGGCTTTGTGTTGCACTTGTTTGCATCAAATTTGATCCTCCCATAATTGAGTCTCTGGCTTCACCACTTAAATTCTCGTGCTGTTTCCCAAAAATCTGGTGCAGTGCACTTCTGTTCTGAGATAAAGAATTAGCATTCGGAGAAGATGAAGAGGAGGAAGAAGAAGAATTCATCATTCCAAATGCATTGCCAAAGAATGCTGGATTGCTTTTGGTAGAGCCCATTCGAGCTGCCTTCTGCAGAAGTGCAGTAGCTGACATTGATGCTGAAGAATTCGACTGGTGTTTTTGATTATCAGAGAATAGAGAAGCAAGGCTATGATCCACTGTACTACCTTTGCCGATTACTTCCTCCTCCACTAGGCCTTGTCGATGTGGCAATGTATAATTCCCCATTGAAGATGACGATTGAGGCATCTCTTGTAAACCAGTGGAACTTGAAGGAATGAAAAGATTTGAATTGCAATTCATGTCAATGAAATTGAGCTGATGAGGATTTGGCTGATCCAACCAAAGTGATAATCTTGGCTTCTGCTGATCTCCAACAAGAGAACTCCGAGAAATCACATCATTATAGTCCGACTTAAAAACAGCTCCAACTTGGGAAATTCCAGTGGAAACATTGAATCCATGAGGAAAATTAGGGTTCATCAGAGTACCATTTAGATTATCATTTTTGAAGTTCAAATTGGTAGCTGAAACAGTAATCACTGATCTTGCACTCTCTTCTGCCAAGGCATCACAGAAAGCTCTATGTGTAATGAAACTATCTTTCCTGTAATATGAATGGAAAAAGGAAAAACTCATATAAGAATGTTAAAGCCCATGATTGAGTTCCGTTTTATAAAAACCCATTTTTTTTCTCAATAAAATAACTTTACATACGAACCCAAATTTTTTCACTTTTTAGCAATACATTATCCACAAAATCATTATTACAAACATATTTCCCCAAAAAAACGGGGCTCAAAACAAGAATACTAAAAATTTTAAATAAATAAATTAACTTCGTCCATTTTTTAATAGCTTAAGCTTTTAAGCAAGATGGTTCAACGTGATAGCAAAGGAGGTTGTGGTATTGAGTTCATATTTTGTTATCACTTATGGATAAAAGTTGTGCAAGATGGATAAAATGAAGCGAGCCTAAACGTGCGAGGACTTGTTAAAGACTTTTAAATACATCAACTTTTTTGTACTTTTCTAACAGCTGAATATATGCTGAAATAATCAAAACCTAATCATTTGCCATCAATAAGTTCACACTCAAATAAGCAATTAAAGCTTGTGGCTGTTTGGCATTTATTTCGTAGAACAAATATTCCCAAACAAGAACATGTTTTCGGGTTGAATTAAATACCTGGAAAAGAGTGTACCACAGTCACACTTGTACTCTCTAGTCCCACAAGTCTTAGAATGAGCTTTCCAGTCAGATTGAACTGCATATTTTTTGGAACATTTTTCACATTTCCATTTCTTCTCCCCATGCTTCCTGCTGAAATGCTTCTTGATGCCGGTGAGGTCGCCGAGAGCTCGGGATGGATCGTGGTGAACACAAGTCTTCTCTGGGCATATGTAAACCTTCTTTATGATCTGATCTTTGTTAGCCCTTTGCTTAAGCTTCCATGGAAGGTTGTGTCCTCTTCTGTGAAGCTGCAAGTTCTGGTCCCTTTTGAAGCCTTTGGTACAAATTTCACAGATGAATCTATTAGTGGTCATGAGTGTCGTTGGTGAAAGAGCAATAACTTGAGCATCTGGATCTGTTCACCCCAGACCCCCCACCCCAACCAAGAGAAAAATAAAAACCCATCAAAAGTTTGGTAAATATAACTTATAAACAACATACTAAAAAAGAAGCTCAAGTGTGTCAAATACGGTGTCCCAAACATAAACATGAAAAACTCACCTGGGTTTCCTGGTAATCTCTTCTTCTTTGCAGTAGGGTTTGCATTTGATTTAGGGTTAGGGTTTGTCTCTGGTTCTTGTGGAAACACATGGGCAATGGAAAACTCATCACCAGACATGACTTGAGTATCAGTTGAAGAAGAAGGGAGCTTGGGCTTTGCTTGCTTGAAAACAAAAAGACAACAGAGTTTTCAGCCTTTGGTGTTATTCAAAACTTCAAAATTATAATCAGATTATGCCAAAAGAACTTGAAAGAAAAACCCAAGTTCCCGAAAGGAAAACTTGAATGAATAATCTGAAAACATCTAAAAACAATAATCTTAAAATTTTCGTACTCTTTTTGCAGAGATCTGATGCAGTGCCTAGCTTTGTTTGGATTTCAATGAAAGCAAAAGAGAATATTTCCTTCTCTTTCTATCTCTTGCAAGTTTCTTCTTCAACGTCATGTCTTCTTTGTTTCTCTCTCCTATGAATTTTCAAAGTCGGTCAGCCATTGATTTAGCTGCTGGGCCAACCCCTCACTCTACCCCAACCCCGCCCACCCCACCTCAGTCGCTCTATATTTGTACGTATGCATTGGCTGTATGTGCTTGTAACCAGAATGCATAGAGCTGTGTGTCATTTGTAAACAAGGAATAAAATAATGTGGTAAAAAAAATTTGAATGTGTCCAAGCATATCCAAATCGTATTAATTGAAAATTTCTTTTATAAAAAATCTTCTTCTGCTTCTGTCATGAAATATCTCTTTACATTGAAGAATTTACCCACAATCCCACATACACTATAAATGGTGTGGGAGATCTATCTCTGAACAACTCGAATTCGACTCAACTGGAATAAATTAAAATTTAACTGAGTCCCAACTAAAAGTTTTAAATTTTTCAAAAGATCACGCTCAAAACTTATTTTTTTCAAAAATAAAAACCTCATTTTAATGTTTGTCAAACAAGGGTTAAGTATAGAATAATGTTATCTAACACTAATTGTGCTAGAACACCAATTAAAATGACTACATTTCGTGAGTTCAATAAAACGAATCATTTGACTTTGCATTTAAATGAATAATTTACACTAAAACTATTGTTTACATATTTTCTAGATAATTAATGAATAGTAAATTACTCATTATCTAATTAAAATCTTGCCACACATGCTTTATGATTTCAGTCTCCAAAGAAATTATGATAGCTCGACATGTCAAATCAGGTGACAAGATTGTGATGAATTTCAATCATTCTATAAAAACATAAAATTTGACATAATGACTGGCTTAATATCATATACTCCCTCCGTCCCAATTATATAGGTTGAATTTCATTTTTCTCTTATTCCAAATATATAGGTCTGTTTCCAAATTTAGAATATTTTATTTTATTTTTTTACCAATATACCCTTATTTAATTTTCACCATTTAATATGCCAGCTTTTTGAAATTATTCAAATACATACATTCTCATTTCTCGAAAATATGAAACAACTCTCATTTTTTCTTCTTCAAATTAAATCATTCAAAATCTTTTATTAATTCCAACAATAATTTATTACTACATACTGAAAATTAAATATGTATAAATTAGAAAAGATTTTGACAAAAATTAATTTTTCAATAATATTAAAGAAGATTTTTTAATTCATGTGAAAAATAAATAAAACATATATAATTGGGACGGAAGAAGTAGCATTTTATCATTGGTCAAAGTAGCGCTATTCGATGAATTTTTAAGTAAAAAATATAGTAAAAACTAAAAAGTGAGTTGCCTTTACAGATGATTTGATCAGGTAAAGATGATTACAGCATAATTGAAGGTAGAGACCTGTATTGAGCATACAAAAAAGTTACTGCAGGATGGGGAACAGTGCTGATACAATTCCCGAGGGATTTACAGCCACCCGTGACCGTCTTCCTCTTTATGGATACAGTTGTCTGAATGTGCTGTTTATTGCAGTGATTCGAGATTACTTTTTCTGGGCTGATTAATCATGTGACTGAAACTGTTCATGTCCAACAGTCACTTGCATGTTACAGCAATCCATCAATTTTTGAATAGCTAGTAAAACTAGGATTTCAATGATTTCATCCAAACAAAATAATTGTTTAGGTTGAAATTTATTGGAATTCGTCAAGATAGGTACGGCGACGTAGGCCCAGTTACCGAAAACGAGAGGTGAACTGATTTGAGTGCGACAATAAAATTAAAGATTATTAATTTGTGATAGAATTATAATAAGAGAATCGAACAGAACCTGAAGAATTTTATCCAGATAGCATCCAAAAGTCGCAAGCCCTATTGGCTAACTCAAGCTTTGGCCTTCTCATATGGCTTCAAAATCATGCCTTATGGGATCCAGCATCAATTATTGAATAACTTGATATAAGTTTGGTACGGGGAACTATTTCGAGTTGAAGCTATTTGTCAAAATTTGGTCTCTGATTCAAATTATAATCAATGTTGATTCATCTTGCTACATCAAACAGACAAATCACATCAAAATATCAAGCAAGCACCGAAAATCAATTCAAGATAACATTGATGGGGTTGAGAAGGAATTTCTCTATCCAATCTAGATTACTGTAAAAAAAATTAGGTCCATATACACTTCAAAAAATTTAGCAACAAAATTGGGGAACATGTCGTCAAGTCAAACAAATAATACGACATTATGAGAGAAGCCAAACAGAAGAAAGTTGGAAAAATATTTCTATTTTTTACTTGAATTAATCTTGACCTCTTACAAAATGAAGGGAAATGCTAGAGGTATGTAATTTTTGGTATATATGTATGTCCACCCTCTCATATGGTAGGGACCGCTTTTTATTCACATGGGTGGGGACCACTTTTATAAAAAGCGATCCCCACCCATGTGAAAGGGTGGATACTTTCATGTATAAAAAAAGTACGTACAAAAATCTTTATCCCAAAATAAATTTATAACTCACAAATTCAGAAGTCACAATAAAATAAATAAAACAATTGGAACTCATAAAAGTTACAATACTTGTAACCTATAGAATCAATGTGGAAATAAGGTTGGTATGAACATCCACATTATATACAATTTACCAAACATATAATTAAGTATATACAGTAATAATATTTAAATTAACTGCTTTTGGCTCCAAGCACTTGGACATTACTACCAAGTGAATTATTCCTTCTTGTTCTTCCCCACATCACTACAAAAAAAAAATTGCATCCACAAAAAAACTCCTTCGTGGTCGTTGGGGCCCGTTTGCGATCATATATTTGTGGTCGCTTAATGATTACAAATTCGTCGTTGGTAAATCTCTTCAGCGACCAGTATAGATGGTCGCTGTACATGTCATCTCCAACGACCACATATTGGTCGAATAGGGTTTGATTTTTGGTAGCTGATAAATTGAATAATTTGTTGATTTATTGTCGTCAAATGTCATTTGCGACCAAGATAAATGGTCGCTGAGTGTTATATATTTAGCGACCAACATGGTCGCGAAAAGGATTATATTTTGGTCGCTCATAATTATTAGAAGTATGTTGCTTATACCCTTTCGTGACCACACGTTGGTAGGTAAATATATAAGAACAAAATATTTTCGCACTAACAACAACCAATAATTGGTCGATGAAGACAATGAAATAGCGACCAACCTATGGTAGGCGAATAGTGCTACCTTTCATGGACCAATTCGTTGGTCGGTAAACATTGATAACTATAGTGACCAATCATTAGTCGGTAAAGGACAACAATTTTTTCCTTATTTTCCAATTACCATAATTTGATACCAATATGTGGTTGCTAGACGTATGTATCAATGCTTTTGTATTAAATATATTTTTTTGTTTCTGCTAATAATTTGTTCAATATTTCAATTTTCAACCATCACAATTACTAATTTAGCAATATCGAAAGCAATAGAATATTAAATTTAACAAAAAATATGTCGCTGCAAAAGAAAATTGTATTGCGCAGATAACTACTAATAGTCAATGTATAATCATAAATGTCTAATATTTAACCACAAAAAGATAAATTGTAACTTCAATAATGTAATCATAGTACTGCAGCACTAACTGATGGCGACGGATCATTGGTTAGTTCTGTAGGCAGATGCTGACTAATATCCATTCGTGTAACAAGGCTCTGGATAAGAAACGCTTGTTGTTCGAGATTTTGTGTAAACTCACTAATAACTTTATCCTTCTCTTTATCTTGTTTTGTAAGAATTTTCAATTGTTGCATCAATTTAGGGGGAGCTGTTACTGCATTGCTGTATGATTTACGTGGAGCGGGTCCAATCCCAGAAATAATCCTAGCACTCTTACCAAGAGCTTGAGCCCATATTTCTGCTTCATCCATTATAGATGCTTCATCTTCAAGCTCTACTTGTGATTGTTGTAACTCCACCATTTCTTTCTATCATACAATAGAAAAATGTAGTTAAAATAAATAATATTAATGTTAATATCTTTGTGTAATAATTTATATATCTTACATATCAAGACTCGGGTAGTTGGTTATCCCATCCTTTCGATGTGGAATGCATCCTCCTAAACAGTTCAATATGTTCAACTAATTCTTCATTTGTAGACTGAAAAAGGTGGATAAAATGTCATAATATAGTCAAATTAGCAAATAATTGATAATTTCAACATGTTACCAAAGTAGTTAAGAGTATAAAATCTGTCTAAGTTAAAATTCAACCAAACATATCCCACAGAACTATGGCCTCAGGGACTGAAAAACATATCCAGCAACATTTCAAAAATATTTAATGACAGTCAAGGGATAGAAAACATGTTAATACTTCTTCTAGAAGTCAGCCAACATTCTAATGACAACCATTTCACTAAATTCTTCATTTTTAGAAATCAAGTCTACTTTCTGAATATGTATTCTATGAAGCGCACTTAGAAATTAAAATAGTCAATTTCATCAGATCAACTAAAAACAGTTAATTATTACTATTTCAACTAAATGAAGCAAATTTAAAATATTAGAAGAAGCCTAATTCTAACATAGTGAACAATGATAAGTAGATTAGTGATATATATTAACAACAATTAATAAAACCTTCCAGCTTAAGAAAATTAAATGCTATTTAACCAACCAACTTTAATTGCTTAATAAGCCACACCAATACTCACTCTAGAAATCAACATGTTCAACAAAAACGAATTATTGAAAGTGCAAGAGATTAAGTCTATTGGATTACTAGTACTTCCCTAGTTGCAGTAAATGATCTAGTCCCTCCATGGTGATTATAAAGAAGCTTCGAACGATTGAGTTTCCTGGCTGCAGATCGTTTCTTAAAACCAACAACAATATCTTAAAGTGAGTAATTTGGCATCTCATTCATTCCGCTTTAATTAACAATATTGTAAAGTAGTATAATAACTTAACATGCCAAAAACTTATCACTTTCAAAATGTGCACACATTCATTCCCAATCATCTTGTGATTTGACAGTTGATGGCTTACATTGTAGTGGATCTTTTCCATGCAATTTTAACTGAAAACGTCTTTCAACAATTTCAACCATCTGATGATCATTTAAATCAACATCAAATTTTTCCTAAACATAGAGAAAAAATGAATTACAAAATTTACTTATAAGAAGATGATTATAGGTTAACCTAAGAAAGGGATCCAGAATTTGAGGAAACGATCTATCATGAGGAGTTGCCTGACTCCAACCTGTCAAGCGTTACGAAACAACATTTCGCATGATGTTTAGGGGTCCTTGTTATTTTTCCTCTTTTAAAAGCTCAAAGTTGAGCTGTTTGGAGCTGGTTGATTGTAAATTAGACCATTAAATATATTTCAGTCTCAAAACTTCATCAATAAATGCTGCTATAATCAATATTTTCTTTTACTTTTGTAAAAATTAATAGTAAGCACGTGCGTTGCACATTTTATGTATAAGACGAATGATATGCCTAATATTTTTATGTACTAATAATGTTCAATATTACTAATATATATATATATACACACATATACATACACACAATTTTTATAAAATTATGTATAATGTGAAAGGTTAAATAATTTGTACACGATATTTTTGTTAACATCCTACAACTTTTCTTCCTTCTTATTTTCTATTTTAAGTTTTTTTATCAAAACTTTTGTTGTTTGCATTGAAACTCCACAAAAAAGTGTAAGATATAGTTGTCCATAGGATAATACATGTTCTAAAATGTATATTCTAATAGTAAGCATTGTTTTTCCTTAAGCTTTGTTAACCGACTTAATAAAATATGTCATTTCAAGTAAATTATAAAAATAAATAGTATTATTGTAATTTCTTTTAATTGTATGTAATAAAATTTCTATTAATTGCGTACTAATAATTAGTAATAATTGTATTTAGTGGAAATTAATTGACTTAGTTTTTTAAAGCAATAATAATTATTAATTATCTTATTTAGAAGTTATAAATTGAGTATTAAAGGGGCATTGTTCACCAAAAATATAAAAACATAAAAGTAAAATGTGAAATTGAATGTTTATCATCTATTCACAATTAGGTTATTGAAAAATGAATTATTTTTTTTTATCATATTTTATAAAATTAATATAAAGTAATGGTGATTAAAGAGTTGATAGATTATTATAAAATGACTTTTCATCTAATACTTATTAAGTAAATATTAGTTAATGGGATTTTTTTTTACTATTATTTTTATTTTCAATGAAATCTTTTAGGAATGCACTATTCTTTTAATTTGTAATATTAGGTTTAAAAAAATTTAAGCGTATATATAATTTTATTGTTTTTATAAACCTTATATATTAATGTTAATTGACTTAATAGTCTATGCCATTTCATTTTAATTATATATGTGGTATTGTTATAATTTTTATTTTGTTTTTATATAAGTTTTTATTAATCATATACTTATAATTAGCAATAATAGTGTTTAGTGGAGATTAATTGACTCAATTTAAAAGATAAATCATTTTAATTTTAATAATTATTGAATTTAGTTGAAATAAATTTAATTTTAAGAGTATTATTGACCATAAACATAAAAATAAAAGGGTAAAATGGAAAATTAAATATATGAGGATAAATGAGGGTATATTGGACTTAAAGATAAATATGTAAGGGTACAATTGGTAATCAAAAGTTTCTCCTCAATCCCCACTTTTAATATATTGTAGATAGATATATTAAAGAATTGGTTCTTAAATTAAAAGAAGGTAAAATGTTTAGGGATCCTTGTCATTTTTCCTCCTTCAAAAGCTCAAAATCGAGCTGGTTGATTGTAAATTAGATTCTTAAATGTTAAAGGGTTCTTCGTTTGAGAATTGAGACACCCCAATCTTCAAGGAGCTCATTGTTTTAATGATATTTAGTATATTCTTTTAAAGTAATCTACCCAAATTTGTAGACAGAGTTTTCCCAAGTTCAGCAAAGACAACATCAAGCAGCCTACTGCAGCTCATTACCATGAAGTGTGTCCTACTAACCATTAGAAGTTAACATCCTTCAATACTAGACCCACTTCAACTATTTTAAAATATCAAATTTATGCTGTCTGTTGGCCTTGTAAGAGCATCATGACACAATAAATAATGGCATGTTTATCACAAAATGCTAAAAAGAATGAGGTCCCAAACCACATTCCATGTGCACCAACTGCTCTATCGAAAAGGGCATTGAGTTGTGCTTGCTGTCTATACAAAATCAAATCAAAACTGTGAAAAAAACAACAAAATGAGCAAGTCTGTCTTTTGTTTACATTATCCCTGATCATATCCAGTAAATGTCACCCTTATTAATTTTAATATTCGGAAACTTGTCCCAGTCCAAATCAGATTTTTAATCTCCTAAAGCTGATTTTGAATAAAAAATTATGAATCTTCCAGCCTCATTCAAAATTTACAATCAACGTAGTATACATACACAATCATAGAAATAGGGATAAGAAAATGCCATCACAAGTTATTTCGAGAACCAATGCAAATGATTGAAAAACGAGTAAAAGAAGCCGACTATATGTATAGAGAGAAGCGGAGATACCGAATAAGGAGAGATATTAGCCGATGGCATGTGTCAAACACTGGACCAGGTAATTGAGGTATGATTAGATGCAGCGGCAACGGCTCGAAGAAGAAGATGTGGAGAAGGGTTGAATTCTAGACGTGGGTTATGGCATTTCCTCTGCCTTTTAAATGGATAGTTATAGATTTATTTATTTTGAAAATCAATTGTAATTGAGCTATGTTTCTAAGGCCATGTTTTTAATGGAGATTAGAATTATTTTAATCTCTAAATTAAAATTAAAATTGATGAAGTGTATAGTTGTAAAGTTGTGAGATCTCTAAATATATGGCTAAAATTAATTCTTGACTTTGACTTTGACATTGATAAAAATTTAGATTATAATTTGTATCAAATATGAAATAAATATGCAAGGAGAGTATAGCTTTGTGTTGGTATTTTATTGGGTTGATTAATTTTGAAATTATATTTTATTGCAACGTAAAGATTCATAAAAAAGTGGGTCTATTTTAAGTGTGAACGACCTAATTAGCGAAATTAAGATCTTTGCAATGATGTTCGACTAGTTTGGACTAAATTCCATCGTTTGACTCCAAAAATATATTTTTTCATGTTCTGGATAATTGGATTGACAGATAATAAAGAGCCTCTAGATGTATTCAATTTTTAATTCTATTTATTTAGAATTATTAGGGAATCTAGTTTTTGAAGGTTGCAAAATATCATTTTTGTTGTATCGTGATCCGGTCCATTTTCGTTGATAATGTAATTTGCTCGAGTAGATATCAATCATAGAGTGGTTGGGGTCAATCGAGTTGTGGCCTATAAAACCAACCCTATAAGATTCACCACAAAATAACTAGATATTCAAAAAATTAGAGTCTCCTCTTGTCTATATTTATCGTCGTCATCACTCTATTTGTTTCTCAAGTCTCTCATCTTGCTCAAGTTTCAAATCTTTCATCAATTACAGTGTATTAAAAGGGGCAAAAGATGAGATTCTCTATGTTGTATTGCTGGTTTTCTTTTCCGTTTTTAACCAATGTGTTGTATTGCTCTTGAAAATTGATTCATTTAGAATCGTTTGATTGTTAATTGATTGTGGGCCAAGCCCAAGCTGCTAATTTGAATTAAAAGAATCGATAATGAAACATGGTGTGAATCTATTCAGTTTCAAAATCTTGTTGTTTGGTTCGTAGGTAACCCAATTCAATTAGTAAAGGACGATGTTTTTATTATTTCATGATAGAATACTTTAAAACTACATAAACATGGTCTAGATCTGTTTATTTCACTAAAAAAGGCCTAAATCATTTTAAAAAGTGGAATTTTACTGCACCAAATGTTTTAACAACGAAGGATGAGTGGTTGCAAAAAACTAGGTCCAAGGATTACGTGCTCTTTGGAATGGTGTAATATTCAGCAACAATTAGTATTGATCATTAGAAAATATCAAAATTAATAGAAAGAAAAAGCTGGATTTTATTGTGTCAAATGTTTTAACGACTACGACATCGGTGGTTGAAGAGAGCTAGGCTTCATGGTCGTTGGATTGATGCATTATTCAGCAACCATTATTAGTGGTCGCTAGAATATGCTAAAACCAATGAAAAAAGTGGGATAAAATTGTGCCAACTATTTTAGCTACCAAGATAGGAGTGGTTGCGAACGGCTGGGATCAAAGACCATTCATTGGTCGTTGGAGTGGGGTAATATTCATCAACCATCATTAGTGGCTGCTAACAAATGCCAGAACCAATGAAAAAAGCGGGATAAAATTGTGTTATCAACCAGGGTATGAGTAGTTGTAGAAGACTGGTATCAGGGATCATTCCATGGTTGCTATTGTGGTGTAGTATTCAGCAATCATCGCCTTCGGTTGCTAAAAAAGTGCAAAAATCAAATGAAAATGAGCGAAATTTTATTGCGCCAAATGTTTTAGCGACCAGAATATAAGTGGTTGTAGAAAATTGGGATCAGAGACCATTCAGTGGTCGCTTTCTAGTGCCAACAACCATCACCTTTGGTCGCTAAAACATGCAAAAACCAAATGAAAAGGAACGGGATAAAATTGTGCCAAATGTTTTAGTGACCATAACATCGATGGTTGCAGAAGACTGGGGTTTGGGACCATTCAGTTGTGCTTTTGTGGTGTAGTGTCAACAATCGTGGCCATTGGTCGCTAAAACTTACAAAAACCAAATGAAAAAAAGGAGGATAAAATTGCGCCAAATATTTTAGCGACCATGATATCGATGGTTGCAGAAGACTAGGATTTGGGACCATTCGGTTGTCGCTTTTGTGATGTAGTGTCAGCAACCATCGCCTTTGGTCACTAAAACATGCAGAAACCAAATAAAAAAAGCGGGATAAAATTGCACTAAATATTTTAGCGACCATGACATCGATGGTTGTAGAAGACTAGGATTTGGGACCATTCGGTTGTCGCTTTTGTGATGTAGTGTCAGCAACCATCGCCTTTGGTCACTAAAACATGCAGAAACCAAATAAAAAAAGCGGGATAAAATTGCACTAAATATTTTAGCGACCATGACATCGATGGTTGTAGAAGACTAGGATTTGGGACCATTCGGTTGTCGCTTTTGTGATGTAGTGTCAGCAACCATCGCCTTTGGTCACTAAAACATGCAGAAACCAAATAAAAAAAGCGGGATAAAATTGCACTAAATATTTTAGCGACCATGACATCGATGGTTGTAGAAGACTAGGATTTGGGACCATTCGGTTGTCGCTTTTGTGATGTAGTGTCAGCAACCATCGCCTTTGGTCACTAAAACATGCAGAAACCAAATAAAAAAAGCGGGATAAAATTGTGTTATCAACCAGGGTATGAGTAGTTGTAGAAGACTGGTATCAGGGATCATTCCATGGTTGCTATTGTGGTGTAGTATTCAGCAACCATCGCCTTCGGTTGCTAAAAAAGTGCAAAAATCAAATGAAAATGAGCGAAATTTTATTGCGCCAAATGTTTTAGCGACCAGAATATGAGTGGTTGTAGAAAATTGGGATCAGAGACCATTCAGTGGTCGCTTTCTAGTGCCAACAACCATCACCTTTGGTCGCTAAAACATGCAAAAACCAAATGAAAAGGAACGGGATAAAATTGTGCCAAATGTTTTTGTGACCATAACATCGATGGTTGCAGAAGACTGGGGTTTGGGACCATACAGTTGTGCTTTTGTGGTGTAGTGTCAACAATCGTGGCCATTGGTCGCTAAAACTTACAAAAACCAAATGAAAAAAAGGAGGATAAAATTGTGCCAAATATTTTAGCGACCATGATATCGATGGTTGCAGAAGACTAGGATTTGGGACCATTCGGTTGTCGCTTTTGTGATGTAATGTCAGCAACCATCGCCTTTGGTCACTAAAACATGCAGAAACCAAATAAAAAAAGCGGGATAAAATTGCACTAAATATTTTAGCGACCATGACATCGATGGTTGTAAAAGACTAGGAGCTGGGACCATTCAATGATCACTAGAGTGGGTATCATACGTAGAAATTTTTTTGTTCTTTTTCTGCACTCCTTTACCAAACAATAAAATGCATGGTCCTTGATTCTCTGAAACAACGACCATAATTTGATCGCAATAGAATATAACAAAATTTGTCCAATTTTACTAGATTAATACCTATACCCACCATTAGTTGGTCGTTGAACGTGTTTTATAGCAACCATGTTTTATTGGTCGATAAACCTTTGGTCGGTGGAGCCCCCTTTTTTTTTTTAAACAGTAGTCAGCAATCTAACTGCCCCTTTTTCCCTTCTCAGCTCCTCCTCCTGTCTTCTTTTTGTTGTTATGCATCTTCTCCCCCTTGATAGACCTTTTTAACATTTATGTTTGATACGTTCTCCATTATAGATAATTAATTTTCTAAACGGTATCCATGACAACCAAACATAATTTTAATTTCAAAAGGACTCTTCAAAAATAGGTTAGAAAAACTACCTAAAGAAATTAACAAATATGGTTTGAGGATTCAACCATAAATAGTAGTAACAAAGAGGATTGGGTACAAATTGTTTTCTTGCCAGTTACAAATAATTATTCTTTTATGTATAGTAGTAGATTATAAAACAAACTTGAGCAATTGTGTACTAAAAGAGAAAAGAATTTTTGATGTATGCTAAAAGTTTTCACAAAATTAGAACCAAACTGAGAACTTACTTGTATAAAATAGTCCGCAATGCCAAGAATAATGCACAGAAAAATGATGTCGATGAAAAAATTTCGACTAGATCGCAGCTGGTACAAAACCGAAAGCTCCATCAAACACAGTCACTACGATGTGCAGCATGCAGCTAGTAACAATCCAAAAATAAAAGATGAAGTGTTGAAGCTCAAGTTACCTGGTTAACAGTGTCCTTGAGTCTAAAGTTGGTATTTTTAAGGTCAGACGTTGCCTGGTCCACCTGTAAGAAGTGAAGAGAACAGACATTGTTGGCTGAGAATTCTTTCACACCGTATTAATACTGTGCCACTATATACGGAGTTGCAAAATCACATTGTGCTCCACTATGCACAATCCAAAACTTTGTTAGTCATCTAGAACAACACATGCATGTTTACTATGTAATAAAAACGATGCTGGAAGAGTTGCAATTAGCAATCTATTTGGTGATGGACGATTAACATAGTTGTTGGTTTCAGTTCTGTTTCTTCTTCCTGAGGATGAGTATTCGAGAAAGATCGGTTAGAATAGGATATCTATTTTAACATGTATTCCATCTATCTTATATTCCCCATTTAGTTATGAATTGATATGGGAATACAATTGTGTAAGTTTTCTATTCTAAATAGGATAATATTTACAGATAAGATTAGGGTCAGATGAATGAATGAACGAATGAATGAATTAATAATAAATGAAGTTGAGCTTAAATTTCAACTTGGTATCAGAGCAAGTTTGATCCGACTTAGGTTAAACTTGAAATAGCTTATGTTATCTGGCGAGTGGCAGCCTGTCAAGCTTTTTGGTTTCGAAAATTGGGGCCTTTAAATTAGGATTCCGAATTGGGCCCTAAATTGCAGATCCTAATTCAAGAACTAACAGAAAATTCAAAAATCAAAGAAACTAGCTTAACTGTAACGGCCACATGGCCGGGGCCCCTCCTAGTCAGCCCATTCTCCAATTGCTGTTGGCGACCTGTATTTGGCTGCTCCATGCACAACATTTTTCCATTGAGTCTTTCCACAGGATCCTTGGTGCTGGTGGTTGTTCGCTTGGGTGAATTCATATTGTTCCTTTTGAAATATATTAATAAACTCAGTTTCAAGTGAAATAATGGAGATAGAAATAGGAAGTTTCAACTAATCCATAACATAACTGCAAGTCTCCCAATTGTGCAAGTTGGTCTATGAGGTTTCAGAATCATGCATATTAGTCCCTGGACTTTTTAAATGGTTAAATTTGGTCATTAAAGCTTTTGTTCGTGGCAAAATGGTCCTGAACTTTCAGTTTGGTGCTAGTCCATGAAGTTTCTGTTTTAATAAAATGGTCCCTGAACTTTCAAGTTCTGCATGTCAACCCCATTTCAGGTTCTTGGTCCAGCAACCTCTGTTTTCTTAGGATGCTAGTTTCTGATTGGGGTGTTTCTTGTGTGTTCATGAAGTTTCAAATCATAGATTGCTGCGTGAGAGATTTTGTATAAGTTTTCTATCCTAAATAGGATAATAAAAGGATGCAACTAGTGTTGGAACTTGTGTAAATAACCCATGAATTGGATGAATTATACAAAAGTTCAGTATAAAGATCTAGTTACCATGGAAGGTATGTATCACCTTAGTTAATAAGAATGTAAAAGAATTTAATGGCTATAAATCTATTATGGTCCACCATGACATGACAGAACCAATTACAAAATCAAACGTCAACCATCAATGTATAAAATAACTGCCCACTTACTATTAAATAATAACAAGATTACTGAAATTTCTAACCTTGGTGTCAATCTCATCTGTCAGAGGAACTTGCCTGTACAATTCCTGCATGCAGCACACCGTACTTTATTAGGTTGTATAACCCTTTAGATCGTTCTATTAGTGCTTGAAAAATGACCACATCCGTCCGCTCCATTTAATGGAAATCCATAGATAGTGGAGATAACAGAAAAAAAGGAATACATCACCTCATTCATTTCATGGGACGTGTTTTTTAAAGTATCCAAACCTTGTGCTATAACATCCAAACCTTGGTCCTGCATCAAGATGAAAGTTAAACCCAATCCAGGAGAACGTATGAAACACATTGTAATCAATTTAAAATTGGTAAAATCTTAGCCATAACAAGTCTACAACATGTATTTTGGAAAAGCACAAACCTGTCTCATTTTCCACATTTCATACTCCTGTCTGAACTGACTTGATTCTTCAGATTGCTGAAAATATTCATTATCAAACCGTCCATCTAGAATTCATTGATATTGCACAAGTTAACAACTAATCAATAGACCGAAGGCTATAAGAAAAATATTTCGACACATAGAAGTTCAATCAAATGACTTGAATCAATTTTAATTTCTTTTCGAGAAGCTGAACTTCCCCAACCTCCCGATTGCTTGGGTGCAGCTGCACAGCCAACCGGTATGGCTTGAATCCTATCAGGCAATGCAAAAAGGCCAAATCATTGCGGGCAGCTATCTCTTCCGTTGAAAGTCCCTTAACCTGCACTTGAGAGAATGGTTATTACACTAGCAATCAGACTCCTGGTTGTGTGCCTAGGGTGAAAATACAGGGCGAAATAGCAGAAATAACAAACACAGAAAGAGAAGCCAACAACCGTCATGTGACAGTAAAAATGGGAGGACTTTAATCACAATAAGAGAAAGATAAGTACACGCATTGCAGAGAAAACTAACATCACTGAAGCAACACTATTAGTACATCTACTCAGTCACATACTCCCATTTATGGAGCAGGCTGCCATCAGAAAGTCAATAAAAATTAGCTTGCAACTACTGAACCCGAAAGCACCCTTGCTAAATCAAACACTGTCCATCATATTCCAAAAGGCCAACTGACTTAACATCGGTACAGCATATTTGGTCATGATTAATGTTCCATTTCCAAGATATCTATACGAATACATTCACCCATCACAAAAGGAACATGATTGAACAACTAACTGAGAGGACGTGTTACAGCACATATTAGCATACAATTCTAGATTTACTTAAAATACAGACGTGTTTATCCTTCATAATACTGAATGCACGTGTTCAAACAAATTAGATGACATTATAAAGGTTTTGTGTCCATAGGAAGCCAGGATTTTTCAAAAAGTAAACATCAAATCTCATCAATTCTTTCAATATTGCAACTTAGATACAATATGGTGGACTAAGGCTATAAAACTTTTATAAATGTGGATTTTTTTGTCCTAAGTATCAACAATGTTGAAACATGTATATCAAAAGACGGTTAGAAACAAAAGTAATCAATTGCAGAAGCTTTGAAATTTAGAGGTTACAAGTAATTTTATAATGAATTCCATGACTCATATACTACACAACAAGGTCAAAGCTGCATTGTAATTCAAAATGAAAACAGAGAAAATATATACAGACTTCTGCTTCTTAGTTTCCCAACTTCCTGTGTAACTGGGTACAGCTCTATCATGCTGAGTTATGGACTCTTTAACCCCAGAATATATTCATTCAACCCCTATCCCCAGCCCCTCTGTGCACTGTGACTTCAGAAACGTATGAAGATTTATTATATGGAAACAAGGTTAGAATTGATCTTTCCAAATGTTTCCTCATGCGATATGATTTGAGACTCCAGTAGGAGCCACCACTCATTAGATTGCTCCCATATCAATAGTGAAGCAAACAGTTGTTAGTTTTATAAAGACTGCCCTCTACTAGAAGTTTGAAATACTAAGATATTCTTACAATATCATTACTCCACGCTTTTGGGCTGAGGTTCTTAAAAGAAGGCAACATGGAGAGGATCACTTAAAGCAAATGTGAAAATACAAATGACATATGCACACCAAATACATCAAACCATGCAAGTAATGCTAAATTAAATAAAAGACTCTTAAGCATCTTCCATGAAGGATTCTTTCTCCTTATCTTGGTAGCATTTCCTAATTAAAACGCATTCTAAAATTAATAAATGTACATAGACAAAGGCGAACTCAGACCCTGTACAAAAATCCAGTATATGGCGTTATGAACATGACAAAGACAAGGCGGTAATAAATAGAATTAAACAAAAAGAAGTCAAGCGCAGTAATAAAATTCAACCTGGCACGACAAATTGAATCGGAAACTTGGAAAAACAGAATCCACTCAGAGTTTAAAAGAAATTACATTAAATCAAACCTTCTTGACAGCTAGTCTCTGCAATATTCTTGATTTCCCCTTACTCTTTTCTTTCTTTGGGGAGCTCTGTGGGATTAATTTATTGACAGCAAGGAGATAGAGAGGACTTAGGCCGGACTAGAGCCGGATTTCCCCCCGTAGCCCCGTTTGGTTGGAAATGAAAATAAGTGGAATAATATTTTTTTTTTTAAATGAGTTATTAAAAAAAAATAGGAGAGAAATTTTTTTGATTTATGTGTAATATTATTTTATGAAAAATTATGTGATTGAAAATAGAAGAAAGAAAAATAAAATGTAATAGAATAAAAATTAATGGGGATCAAACGGAGGCTTAGTTGTCTCTCAGCAATTCATTTTGTCAAAACCTAAAATTTACTCGTCAATTTCAACTCAATTCATCATTGAGCTCGACTTTGTCCACCAAGTGAGTCAACCAGCACTCACATATGGGATAAGTCGAGCTAGCTCAACCCACCACATGAGTTGCCTAGCGCTCACATATGGAACAAGCCGAGCACAAGCTGACTTAGCTTGTTTGATTGCACAAATTTTGCATGAAAATAGGAAATTAAATTTCATTTTTTAGCTTTTTTCATGTTTAATTTTCTTGACAACCCCCATTTTCCACCTTTTTGAGAAATTGGTTTCCCATGGATTTGGTGGTTTTTGGTTTTCCAGTTTTTTATTTTTTATTTTTTTATTTTTTTTGGCAATTGAAACACATTCTCTCTTCAATTGTAACAAATTTTATTTCTTTAATTGACAATTTTCATGAAAAACAAAACCAAATGAACACTAAAAGATCCAAAATTGTAATATTTTCTAGTTGAAAAATTATATCAATTAAATACATTTAATTGACAATTCCTAATAAAACAAGTTATAGATAATTCAATTTCCTAAAATTTATTTTCTTTCCACCCAAATTATATTCTTGCAATTTCTCAGAAGTCACCATTCTTATTTATTTATTAGAAAATTTAAAATTGACACTTTCAACACCGAAGTATAATAAAAACGCAAATTTGTGAGAAAAAAATACATTTTTGTCTAAAGAATTATAAAGTTAGAAAAAAAACTCCTCTTTTATCCGTATCGAAAGGTCGCCTTAGTCTTATTGAAGTTGTTGGCACAAACAATTATGTACTTCTATTTGAGTTTTAATATTGTCCCAGCCATGTAATGCGTCTTGATCTAATATATAATTCTCATAATAGACCTTACATCAGTATGTGCTGATATAGTCACTGTGCTATGAATAAGACACGATCTGTACTAGATAGTATCGGGTGTTTATATTATTGTGCATTTCACCATTAAAGTAAATTGAAACAAGTCTGCTTCTAATCTTGTACTATGTAAGTCCTCCAAACATAGGAGTTTCATGCATTTTAAACATAGAAAAAGTTATATCTATGGAGTTCAAATCGAATTACAAATTACATAGTTCTATAATTATTTCTAACAGCAAGAATATATGTGTTTGAAAGTCAAAATTTAAATTACTTTGAAGTAACTAAAACAACTAAAAGCAATTTAAATTACTTCGAAGTAACTAAAAAGTCAAAATTCAAATTTTAAATTATATAGTTCTAATCTAATACTATGTATGGTGTTACACTCGTGACCAAACCACTTCGAAACAAAAGTCACATCACTCCCCAAAGTGACACGTATCCATCCGAAGTGGTTTCGAAGTGATGCCCACTCCTGACGACCTCAACATGATGTTAGAATTGAATGAAAATTATTGAATAGAAGTAATGAAAAATATTGAATAGAAGTCTCTTCATATGTTGTAACTTAAGTAACTCAAGTCACTTCATATTTTTAACTCATTTATCAATGAATGGTTTAACTCCTTGATTAATGAGCTAACTTTTCCTCCATTGGTATAAATAGGAGTCTCTCTAGGTTGGAAAATCACAAGTGAAATGCAAGTTTATTCCTCAATGTAACAATCTTCTTTTTCTCACTTTCAAGTTCTTCCTTATGCTTATAATTTTTTTGTGAGCTAAAGTATATCACAACTAGTTCACAGGCGATTAATGTAGTGCAGCGTGAATTGAAAATCGATTGTATCCTAGGAATTGAACAACGTTCAAAACCTCTTGCACTCCGGTGAGGCGGCAAATTCGATTTAAGGAAACTATGAATACACAAACCTTCCGTTTGATTTGATTTTCTAATATTTACCTACAAGCATAAATCGAATTGGCTTTAGTAAATCAAATTTTGTTAATTAGCTTTTGTCAATTTTTCCAGTTCATGGTTTTTGCATGATTTCTAATTCATTTTAAATGATTGTTAAGTTGTTAATAATTTGACAAAATAATCTGTTCTTCAACTCTGCAGTTTTATTTTCTGAACAGATAACTTGATCTCGAATTTATATACAACTTTACAAACTTATAATTATTCTAAATTATTTGTTGCTTGTTCCAGTTCAATGGCGTCACATGGAAATAACAATGTGAACAACAGAAGCAACACTGTTGATATCGATGTACCAAATCCTGCAATGACTATTGTTAACCCTATGGAGACCACGACTGACATTTATCTTATTGACGGGATAATTGGAGGCGGGATTCCTCATGTTGAAGTGAACCCAACTTTGCCTTCGACTGTGGCCTCGGCAATTCAGTTTGGTACAATACCTTTGCCAGTGCCTAGGGCTGCGGTTTCGGCACCTTTGCCATCGTTTTCGGCTCGATTTAAGTTGAATCATGCAATTCGACCGGATAAGTTTGCTGGTACTGATTTCAAGACATGGTAGAATAAGACGGTTTTCTATCTCACTACGTTAGGCCTTGCACGTTTCCTCACTGAGGATGCCCCTATCGTGGCTGAAAGCGACATTGATGTGCATAGGCGTACAGCTTGGGACGCTTGGAAAAGTGTTGATTTTTTGTGCCGCAACTATGTCTTGAATGACTTACATAATTCTCTGTATCACGTATATGTGGTAAAGAAGTCTGCTAAGGAGCTCTGGGAGTCCTTAGAAAAAGAAATACAAAACCGAGGATGTCGAATCTAAGAAATTCTTAGCCAGTCAGTGTATGGACTTCGAAATGGTTGATTCACGTTCAGTGGTGAGCCAAGTGCAGGAGTATCAAGTGCTTTTGCAAGAAATGCATGCTGAGGGTCTGACCATGTCAGAATCTCTACAAGTGGCTACTGTTATTCACAAGCTATCTCCTCAGTAGAAGGCTTTCAAAAGCTATTTGCAACATAAGAGGAAAGAGATGTCTTTCGAGGATTTAATTATCAAACTGCACATTGAGGAGGATAACAAACGAGCTGAACGTAAGTCAGAGAATTCTTACTCTGAGAAGGCTAATGTATTGGAGTACGGCCAAAATTCTGGTACTAAGAAAGTTCATTCCTTTAAAGCCAAACAGGGTAACAGAAATCGAAAAGATAAAAAAGGCTACGAAAGAGTCTCAGTTGAAGCCTGCATGTGGGGTAGGAAAGAAACCTAAGTTCCAATTCAATAGAAAGTTCTTCAATTGTGACAAAGTTGGGCATCGATCAGCAGACTACCGTTAGCCTCGGAGGGATAATAAGCAGCGTCCTCAGGCTAATATAGTTAGAAATGAGAGAGATCATCTCTCAGATGAAATGTCTGAGCTAAACCTCACAGTGATTGGAAGATGCAGGTTAAGCTATGCTTTTAATGACCATTAAGTGTTGTTGTGAAAAACTGAGTTAAGAGATCACCTATGTGAGTGTAAAGTGGGGCTGCTTCTATAAGGATTGGCGAAATAGTTCAATGCATCAGATCCACTGGTTTGCTAGTAATTCCCGATATGTTTCACAAGGGAAGGTTCAAAGCTAAATGTTACCTATCCTATGCAGGATTGATTCATTTTACTCAAGTAACTCAAGTCCCTTCATGTTTTTAACTCATTTATCAATAAATGATTTAACTCCTTGATTAATGAGTTAGCTCTTCCTCCATTGGTATAAATAGGAGTCTCTCTAGGTTGAAAAATCACAAGTGAAATGCAAATTTCTTTCTCTAAGCAAAAATCTTCTTTTTCTCACTTTCAAGTTCTTCCTTATGCTTATAATTTCTTTGTGAGATAGAGTATATCATAGCTGGTTTGCAGGCGGTTAACATAGTGCAGCGTGAACCGACAACCGATTGTATTCAGAGAATCGAACACCGATCAAAACCTCTTGCACTCCGGTGAGACGGCGAATTCGATTTAAAGAAACTGTGAATACACAGGCCTTCAGTTTGATTTAATTTTCTAATATTTACCTACACATGACACACTGCAAGGTCAAGAGTAGATCCACTGAAGTAATCGAAGTGTCCCTCAACTCTGAAGCGTTGGGCACTCCGAGGTACCCCTTAACAGATCTCTCTGTCGCCGCTGTCAGAAAGATAACTATTAGGATCCGCTCTGCCTCCAATGATAAATTGATATGACATCTCTATAGATCTAGTTGATGTGACATATCAACTTTATGTCAACTTAACTCAGAAGAACTAATTATAAACCCACTATAGACGCGGCTGATTGATGCCTATGAGCGGATGCCTCACACCGTCAGATGCAATCACGTGTCCCACATTCAACGGTGCTCTCGTCTATAAATACCCAAGGTTTGGCAAGAGACAAAGGTAATGGAACACACACAACTTAGCTCTCCATACTAAAAAATATATATTCTCCTCTCTACTCTCTTGCACAATTTGAGCACTGTTCCAATCACCCAACGATGACTTGACCGTCGGAGTGTATGCGGTCGCCACCACCATCGTTGGTTCCGGTCGTGTGCTTCTTATCATGCGTTGTTGTGCGCAGGGAGGATTACGTGGAGAAACTATCCGTTGGCCACGTGGAGGGTTCAATTCTCGAGATCAACATATGGTCCTACGCATTTTGAGATGGAGATTGAACACTGTAGCTAGGAAAAATAGAGAATCTACACAAATGCTGTGTGAAAAGGAATATAATTAAAATTGGGGAGACGAGATTCACATTGCATAGAAAACGAAAATATGTCTAATAGATTATAAAATACAATGCATATATTTCACACATAACGAGTCAAAATAGCCTCATTTTGAAATTGATTACAAAAAATAGTTATAATGAATCAAATTTTTAAGACTGTTATACTATCATTCA